CCCCCCCCCCCAATGATATAAATGTACAGAATATTCTCCAGTCAGGATCAAGTAAATTAAGTTTAAGATGTGGTTCTAAAGAATCAAAATGTTAAATAAACTATAACTAATGAACTTACTTTGAATATAACTTATCTAAATGTGTTGAAAATAATAACTAATAACCTGGCTGACACAGAGCAACTCAACACTTTGGTGAGCAGCTTTAAGTTTTTAAGTATTAAAACAACCATTTAATAAAAATCAAAGTTCCCAAAGAGCTGCAGGAAGAAGCAGAAAGATGTGTGGAACAACAGTGGTGATGAGGTCACCGCCTCACAGCTGCAGCTGGTTCACACAATCAATCTGAGCCAATCCAGTCACTGACCTGCTGGAAATAAAAAGACAGAGTTACACAACCAGTTTGTCTGTGCTTCTGAAGCATTCTCAGCTTCTCTAAGGTGAGGAACTTTGTCTTTTAAAGCTTTGTGGAGGTGTAATTTTGTTTTAAGTGTGTTAAAAAGAAGTTTAGACTTTTGTGTTTCTCTGCAGTTTACTGACTTCCTGCTTTCTGCCACAATGATCAAGCAGGTAAAACACTGTTTGAACACATGACTGTTAAACATAGAGCTGTATGAGAACAGTTTGTATTTYTCCACAGATCAGTCTTGCCATCACAGTGGTGGTTGTTCTTGGTATGATCACTTCAACTTGTTTAATTTGATAAAGTTCTTTATTATATATCCTCACCAGCCTTCCTGTTTTTTTTTTTTTTCAGGATCTGTTGGAGTCAGTCATCAAAGAGGTTAGTTTAGACCACCCCCCCACCCCACCCCCCGACATGTTCATTCTAACACGTTAAACTTGCTCAGTGTTCTCAAGTCTCTCTGGTCTTAAACCCTCCAGGCTGCTGGACTAACTGGTTTAATGATGACTCTCCTCGTGGAACTGGTGACCATGAGACTTTTCCTCAGCTGTGGGGACGACACCCAGCTGAGATCTGTGAACACCCCATGGGGATTGAAGCAGAGACCACTACAGGGATCCCAGCTGAGAAAACTGGACAGAAACTGAATACGTGAGTTTCATGGTGGTTCTTAAACTTTATCTGAATCACGTTTCTCTAAATCTTAACCATATTAAATGTCTATTTTCCAGATACTCTAAAGAAGACGGTTTGATTTGTCTCAATAAGGAACAAAAATCTGGGTCCTGCTTTGACTACAAAGTTCGCTTTGAGTGCGAGTGCCCCCGTCAACAATGTCTTGAGAACTGCTGAAGACTAAAGTGCTCTTGTAGATTTTTTTACTGTCTTGTTTTGCAAACTRATCTCTTCTGAGCCGACGTGAGCTTTAGATTGAAGAGGTTTGACATAAAACTGAATTAAACTTTCTTTTTGTCTCTATCTTATCTTTACCTGCTGGGTTACTATAATATCCAGGCGAATGGATTAATAACAAATTCTGCTCTTGCTTCATATATTCATCTCAAAATGACATCAAATACTCTATGGTTGTATAAGCTCATTATGGACAAGTGTCAAACACTGACTTGACCTGAACATGTAACAATTTTTCAGCTGCTCTAATCAAAGCGGTCTGGATTGTTCTAATTACATGTGCAACCTTAAGGTCCAAAGACACTGCGCCTCTAGAAAGCCTTCAAAATATTTAAATGGAGCACAAAGTAAACTTGTGTAAAAAAAAAAACAGGAGTTTACATCAAAGTAAGCTATTTGACAAACTTTTGTGTGCAATCCACACAAACCTGTACTRCTCATCCTACATAAGTTCAGTGGCACTGTTTACAGGCTATAAATCAAATTTATTGTCTCTTAGGATAAGCAAAGACTCAAGGAGCCGCTGCTCCTCCACGTTGAGGTGGCTTGGGCATCTGGTTAGGACTCCTCCCTGTTGAGGTGTTCCAGGCATGTCTCACTGGGAGGAAACATGGAAGACCCAGGACACGCTGGAGGGACTGTTTCTCAGCTGGTCTGGGAACATGTTGGGATTCCCCCAGAGGAGCTGGCCGGCTTCCCGGGTAGAGGGAAGTCTGCTTAAACTGCTGCCCTCTCGACCCCGAATTAGTGGAAGAAAACAAATCAGCACTCCATCACACCTGTATGACGCACATCACATTCCAGCAGGACATRCAGAATAGCAGATGCCTGTAAAGAAGATTGTGACTGAAACAAGTCCACTCGGTTAATTCCAAAATCAAATAAAATTTACCAAAGTTAGTCTGACTTAATGCAGATGAGTACTATCAACACRTCTTAAATAGGTTAAAAGTAATATATTTGAGTGTAGAATACTTAAGTCCAGTTTACTGAATGAAATCGTCCTTTTAATTTATCCATGTTACTGTAATGAAAACATTTGAGTCACATGTACTTAAATAGATTTTTTCACACTGAATTGTTTAGGTTAATAAACTTAAACCATTTAAGGCAATCGGTTTCCTCATTTGAGTTCAACTAACTTCAGGTTTTACAGTGCTCCAAAATGTTAAATGATAAAATAGGTATATCTTTTGTAATTCCAGATTTAAATTTTATGAAAAACAAAAGTTTAACAGATTAACAGCATATACAGGAGAATTAATGGCAATTCTGGTTGTTATAGAATGGGTTGAAGAAATTAGAGAAAAGAAAGTTAACATTGGTGTTATTTTTGATCAGGACATGTCTTTTAACCCCCACATTAAAAAGTTACCAGGACCACCTTCTCCCACCTGCGTAATATCACTAAAATTAGAAATATTTTGTCCAAAAATGATGCGGAAAAACTGATTCATGGATTTATCACGCCTAGACCGGACTACTGTAACTCTGGCATCCAAAAAACTCTTTAAGAAGTCTTCAGTTGATCCAAAATGCTGCTGGGAGAGTTTTAATGAGAGCTGGAAGGAGAGATCATATTTCTCCAGTTTTAGCTTCTCTCCATTGGCTCCCTGTCAAATTTAGAATAGAATTTAAAATATTACTCCTAACATACAAAGCTCTTAACAACCAAGCTCCATCATATATTAAACATCTTATTGCTTCATACTTTCCTAACAGAGCACTTCACTCTCAGACTGCAGGTTTACTTTGTGGTTCCTTGAGTTTCTAAAAGTAGAATGGGAGGCAGAGCTTTCAGTTATCAAGCTCCTCTTGTGGAACCAACTTCCAGTTTCTGTCCATGAGGCTGACACTCTTGTCTACTTTTAAGATTAGACTGAAGACTTTCCTTTTTGATAAATCCTATAGTTAGACTTAGGTTTCCTGAATTATTCTTCATTTCTGCTGCTACAGACTTAGACTGCTGGAGCACAAACTGAGCACATTTCTTCACTCTGCTGTTGTCTTTAGTCTCTTCTCTACATGTTTATTGTAATTATTTCTATCAATAACACATACTCTTTCCTGTCCTCCAAACCAGCCAGTCGAGGCAGATGGCCGCCTGTCCTGAGCCTGGTTCTGCTGGAGGTTTCTTCCTGATTAGCAGGGAGTTTTTCCTCTCCACTATTTGCTCAGGATGGGAGACTGTGATGAAGTGATTCAACACAATCTGCTGTCTTCTTCTTTAGATTGTTCTTTTTTATGGACAGTGCCCTGAGACAACGTATGTTGTGACTTGTCGCTATAAAAATAAACTGAATTGAATTTTATTAAATTTATTTAATCTATAAAGAATCTCATGAAGTCATTAGAGTTAAAGGATACATGGCTCAACATAGATAGGACCTTTCATTAGTCTAGCTACAGTACTGAACAGAAACCTGGGATTGGAACCTAGTGTGACCTATACTGACCCAACAAAGCCCATTACAGGAACAGAAGTTTCCTTTCAGTTGAAAGTCCTTGGGTACATCCTGCTGATAGTAGTTTCCAAAATAGTCCATGGTGAAATTACTTTCACAAACTACAACTTTCTTTGGTAATATTGTTTCGTCCTGTGAAGAAGTGGGTGGAGCTCCACATTGGGTTACCAGGTGAGGAGCTGGGCTCAGGTTGGGGTGAGTTGGAGTACGGTTTGTGACGTCATAAACCTTTGGTGTTTGAAAACAGGTCTTTTCAAGACAGAAAAAAATACATTTGCTTATAGTAAAAATACCTCTGGGTGCAATTTATTGGTACTTGGACTGTTTTATGAAGCAGTACAGACCCAAAGGTCATAAAAAAATACAAAAAAAGAAAGATTTTTTATGTAGGTCTACACCTCCTGCTGTGTTGTCATTTTAAAGTCTTGAGTCACCCTGGCCTTCCTGCTCACATTTCCTGACATGATTTTACTTAATGAAAATCATCATGATTTACTTTAAATATTTTTAGCTGCATGTAGCTAAAACCCTCCTGTTAAAATCACAACGTGGGATTTAAACATTAAGGTCAGATCATGTCTTCAAAATGTTTTTGATCTTTGTTTTATTGTGAACAATTTAAATGTGTAAAACATTTTGTAAAGTCTACAATAAGCTGGTAGAATAATGAGCCTAAACTGTCAAAAAGATTGTCTTAATTGACCTTTAGCTTCAGCTGAAATTGACTCAGTTACCTGCTAAAGAAAGGTTTTGGTTTGCAGAGTGGACAAAGTTTCAAGATAAAAACTGTTGAAAGGTGAGGAGGAAGTTATAGAAAGTGTTTCTTCAGCACTGGATGAAGCAAATTATAAAAAACTGAGACGATCACAAACTAACATCACTAAATTAGATTATTCTGACTTTGTTCCACAGATTACATTGAAGCAAGGCTTCAACTTCAAACATCCTAAATGTTCAAGAAGCATCAGCTGCTGCTTCTGGTGCTTTTATTGTGAAATCTGTTGTCTGGATAAGAGTGAGGAAGAGGAGAAATGCTGAGTGAAATCACAGGATTAGAACTGATCTCAGCTAAATCAGAACTTCACCAGAACATAACTTAAAAAAGACAGCTGGCAAAATATGAAAAGCATTTATTTTAAGTGACAAACTGTTATAAAATGGACAGATGAAGAACCTGAAGCTGCATTACAGGAAATTACCTCCAAAATAAAACAAGTTCAATGACAAATGATGAATCAAAAGTCCAGTTAAATACAGTTAACACAGGCCTCAGCTTCCTTCAATTCAGTTTTTAAAATTAAAAATCACCTGTAATGAACAAAAAGATTATGTTTAAAGGAAGCAGGACAAAGTCATTCTGAAATATTTTGTTTTGGAAACAAAACCAAAAAAACAAATTTCCTAAAAGAATTTAGATAAAATTTAAAGTTTCCTCATCAAAGTGAACAAAGAGAAAACAACCAACAGAAAACTGAAGACAGGAAACGGTTTGATGAAGCAGAACTTGGTAGATTTCTCTGTTAACATCTAACTTTGTATTTAACTGCACTCTGATGCACGCAGACGCTTCTGTTCCTCACAAACCTGAAAAGGTTCCACAGCCTTGAAAAGCCAACAAAACTAACAAAAACACCATTTACACTTTCCCAAATCTTTCAGCGCGCTTCATTTTCTTTGCCTGCAGAGGAAAGCAGGACAGAATRAGTGAGGATGTTAAACATTCTGTTAAATTTAACAGTGATGAAGTAAAGATGAAAGTTTACCTCCACGTCTTCTGCTCCAACTGAAGATGCTCCTGTTTGGATCCCAAACCTCTCCTTCCTCTTCTTCAGCTTCTCATCATCCTCCACCTGAAGAAAATCACCATCTGTACAATTAATCCTTAAACCCTAAAACTAACAGYTTTGAATAATAATCCTTCATCTTTTCCACCAGAACAGAGAGTTCCATCCACCTTCTATAGCTTTACATATTTATACAACACTTTTTTTGTTTTAGGCTAAAATAAAAGACCGGTGCTTTCCTAAAATGACACAATTTAAAAGGTTCAAATTTTCAACATCAAGTTCTGCTGAACTCCAATTAAAATATTTTACTAACAGAGTCCATATCAGTTTTACAAGCTGTGTTTCCACTGCAAATGTGCAAAACTTTGTCGATATTCTGTTAATGTTGAAAAAACACAGTTTCGCAACTGCAGCGTTTCCATTAAGTAAGAAATGCTTAAAGTCACAGGTGAATACATTTGTTCTCGCGATAAGTCATTACAAACATGGCGGCAATKGATGTAAACACATAGCATGTTGCTACCGCGACACTAATGCTCATCATCAGAGGAGTTGTTGGCGTATTTTATCGAGGCTTTCCAGCGACAAGCCCCTACTTGGGAGCAGCTACGTATGCTGTGTTTTTGGGTAATTGTAGTCGGTGAGTTTACTACTTTCTTTTACTACTTCTGTGACATTACTATTACTTCTACTTCCTGTTATCTTCTTCGTCGTCGTCTTTTTCGCCAGTAGAAACAGCCGGTTGTTGATCACGTGACTCCTGTGATGCGAAAAAAGTGTTTCTATTGTAGTTTTACAAAAAACACCAATTTCGATACGGCCGAAAAACCACCTCATCCTAGCGCAAATACATTTTGTCGAAAAATGTTTTTTTTCCCAAAACTGACGTGTTTCCATTCAGCAAAATTATTTTCGAAATTCTAATTTTCGCATTTTCATGGTCAATGGAAACGCAGCTAGTCAAATGACTTGTCTTAAAATGTTTTAATCTTATATTTGTCTATTTAAGTACCTAGTGATGAATTTAGCAGCATGTAAATAAGTAAATTTATATGTTTATATTATTGTTTAATCATGTTTTTAGTAGGTCTTAAACTAAATAATTTTGACAAAGTTTTGCGCCATTTTCTTTAGTTTTGGTTATTTTTAAAACTCAAAATAATATGAAGTTGGAATATTGTGTAAAACATAAATAACCGATGTTTTATTGAATGCACTGCAAAGTCAAGACATTTATGGTTCAAACAGATAAACTTTAAGATTTTTTGCAAATATTCACTCATTTTGAATTTGATGCTGCAACATGTTCTAAAAATTCTGAGACAGGGTCAACAAAAGACGGGTGGCTTCTTCCATGGGATACCCCTTTTATCCACCAGGCTGCAGTGGCCGCTCCATTTTAGGTCCCACCATCGCCAGCATTCATGGAAGAGCTTCAGTGTTGCTGGGTAGAACTTAAGGGCTCGACACACGGGGAGCGACAAACTACAGCAATTAACAGCTGTCATCGCAGCCAGGGTGAAACCCGACACACGGGACGCGATAGCGATCGCAGCGTTGCGAATCGTGCTCAGGTCGCTTGTCTTCACAAAATTTGATTGGTTCTTGACTGAAGGCGGGTATGCATTACGGACGTGTAAACTAAACAAATCTTGCGATGCTAATGATATTGAAAAACAAACACACATCAAGATACAGTTTTATGAGGAAAAACTTACATAAACTTCACCCTGGTGCCAATAAATTCCCACAAAGCTTTTTAGTAATCACTTGGTGAAAGTGTTAGCTAACTGCAGTGTGTAGCATACTCTCCTCTCATTGGTCAGTCAATAAAACCCTCGCTATTGGTTGTACGCTAAGCGACAGCGACAAAAGTTGAACATTTTTCAACTTTCAWATGTCGCGTCGCAAGCTCACGTGTGCACGTCTACGTGTACGAGCGCGAAATTTCACATGCACGATTTTCGCCAATCGCTTAGCTGGAGGAGGGCAAGCGATTATCGCCTCGCCGCACAGGCTCCATAGGAAATGAATGGAGAGCGAGCGACGTCACCTCTCGTGTGTCGAGCCCTTCAGACGCTTCTCCCATCATGATAAGGATAAAGGATCCTAGCAGCTACTGTATGTGCAGTCCTGGGGATCACGGTCTGGACCACATGCCCCGTRTGGATCACTGCATCACTTCATTGGTTCTGTCCCCAGATGAGGCTTTGAAAGTGAAAGCCCGTTGTCCAAGTGCCCAGTGCCAGGTGAGACACAACTTTTGTGCCGAGCCTATGACATTGCCGCTTGCATTTCACTTTCGGTTCTTCTGCTGGCACAGTCCCAGATGCTGCAGCCAGGCACTGTGGGGGCAGCAATTGCTGACACAAATGACACGGCCCTTCATGTCTTTGGTCTTAGCTGCACTTAGCTGGGGTAGATGCAGAGGGACCATGAGACCCCCCACTCCACAATTGAGGTGATGTAACATGCGGGATCCACGGAGTCAGTTTTGGACCACCACCCCTCCACAGTTTGGACTGCAGAGTCAGGCTGTGGTGGGTGCTTGGCACCGGCCAAGGATTGAAAAGGCTCCACCTCGTGGAGCTCTTGCGAAGTCGTCACTCCCACCCCCACCAAGGCCAATGCAGACATCAGAACGCAGCAGGGAAGATGGCGGGGAAGTTTTCAAAGTGGCACCTGGCCTATTGGGTGCCCCATTGCAGAGATACATGGGTATAAAAACTATGTCCCAAGGGTACAGGTTGCAGTTCCACTGTTGGCCCCCACCACCATGGGGCTGCAGGAAATGTAAACTCTCCTGAACAAAAAGGCCATAGTGGTGGTTCTGCCACTTCTACAGGTCGACATGTTTTATTCAACCTATTTTCTAATTCCAAAATAAGAATGCTTCCCTTTGGCCAGTGTTGGACCTCAGGGGGCTAAACCATTTACTGAAACTTCTACCATTTTGCATACTCTGCAGCTGTGATGTCCATCAGACAGTCAGTCCAGGAGAGTGGTTTACTTCCATAAACCCGAAGGACGCATACTTCCATGTTCCAATCCACCCAGAAAACAAGAAGTACCTACGGTTCACCTTCAGAGGCATGGCCTACCAGTTTTTGGTCCTGCCATTCGGGCTGTTCTTGGCCGCTTGGATTTTCATGAGGTGCATGAAGGCAGCCTTAAGTACTTTGCGTTTGTCGGGGTTAAAGGTTCTAAATTATCGACAACTGGCTTATCTGTGCCCAGTTGTTTTGGGAAGTAGGTCAGGCCATGTCCAGGGTTCTGGCCCATCACTAGGCACTAGGAATGACGGTGAACCTTCAGAAAAATTACCTGAGCCCAGTCCAGCAGGCAACCTTGATTAGTATAGCCCTGGGTTATTTATTTATTTACTTGCTGTTATTTATCCAGGCAAATTCTTTTGAGATCGCAGATCTCATTTTCAAGGGAGGCCTGGGCCTGAAGGCAACCTATTGTACATGTTTTTGAGTTGTGGGGGACACCGGAGTACTTGGCAAAAAACCCACGCAAGCATGAGGACACCATGCAAACTCCACACAGAAAGACCCCAGGTTCGAACCAGGAACCAAATCCAATTCAGCGGCCAGGCTGGCTTGGCTGACCACAGAGAGGGTAAACAGGATTCGGTCTCTGCTCCAGTCTTTTCATGTGGAAGCAGCACCTGTAGTCCAACTATGGCTGACACTGTTGGGGATGATAGCAGTTAGGCCTCACCTCTGTCTGCCTCTGGGGCTGCTTCATCTCTAGCCCCTGCAGAGATGCAGAGGTTCAACGGCCTCCATAAGGACCCACGTTTGCACCAGCATGTCAATGTGAGGGTTACAACCAGCTGGAGTCTGATGCTGGACAGGCTGCATTAACCCTGAAGATGCACTTAACTGCTGTTTCAGCCAATCATAATAACATTGATGGCAAATGGGTGGAGGCGCACTACTGGGTAATGCAATGTYTTCATGGTGCGAGGAGGCAAGGAGGCTGCCTCGCCTGTTACCGAGGCTGGCAGCAACACGGGACCTTCTACTGGTGTTGAAGGCCCTTTGAGCCAATGTGTGTTGCCCCACTGAAACTGGTGTCTATGAAGACTGCCTCCTTTTAGCAGTGATAACAACTAAGCAGGTCAGTGAGCTCCATTCACTTACCATCACCCCTACCTGTCTGAGTTGGAAGACAGATGGGTCATGGGTAACATTATGGCCTTTCTTCCTAAAGTTCTGCCTCCAGGCTATGTAAACACTGCCATTGAGCTGGGGGTATACTGCCCACCCCCATTCCAGTATGAGGAACAGAGGTTTGCAAGCATTCTGTATCAAGTCCGGGCATTGTGGCTGTACATTTTGGCTACGGGCACTATTTGGGTATCGGGCCAGCTGTTTGTGTGCCACGGTGGGGAAAACAAAGGGCGAACCCTTTCAAACCACAGGCTGTCGCACTGGGTCATTGATGCCATTGCGCTGGCTTAAAAATCCATGGGGACTGCTGCCCCCTACGAAGTGATGTGCCATTCTAATAGGAGTGTGTTTAAGTCCTGGGTGGCGATGAGGGGCGTGCCACTGGGCGATACAGTGGTTTGCAAAAGTATTCATACCCCTTGAACTTTTCCATATTTTGTCACATTACAACCA